ATATGAATTTGCATTAATTTCTGGGCAAATTTAGTTGTCTAGTCATATAATTCACTGTATTTTTTGATGAATTATGTAAACTCTACTAATTGCCACTGAAATAAAATTAAAATATTTTAACCCTGGTTATTAATTGTCAATAATATGTATAAATCATTTAATAAACAAATAAAGTTCTAATATATTAATTTTAGATTGAACTTACCAATAAATTATACAAATAAAGTTGTCGGCTAAGTAAATCTGATTCCCATATACATAATAATATTTCTGATTGGATAGAAGTATATTTTTAATTAAATTCAAATTTGTTAACCAAAATACAACATTAAAACAATATCAAAAAATATAATAGGTATGCATTGGAATAATTGGCTTACCTAAACTTTAAATTTATATTTTAAATAATACACATAATTAAGAATTTACTTAAAGCGTATTCTGTGGTTTATTGAATATTAATTTTTAATTAATTATTATTCTTTGAACGTTAAGTTAACGTTAACATTAACATTAACCAGTGCTATAGTGTGTAACCATGATGGTACATTTAAAATGTTGTTTTTATACTTTATAGCTGATAAAGCCTAGCTGCTGCAGGCCGAGGCTGGCTATAGTCGTTCACTGACACTCGGTATTCTGGTGGGAGTGATATCTGGTGGGGGTTTCTTATAGTATTGTTTATCTATCTTGTTGTTATTGATTATGAGTTATGACCGTTATGGGTATTGTTAAATTGAGATAAAATTTCGTTTTGACTTCTGGTTTTTACTAAGTTAATATTTTCAAAATTGTAACACAGTGAAAAATAGTAAAACCTAGAAAGTTTAAAAAAAAAAATTACTTTAAAATTCCTGATATTTCCCGTGATATTAAGTGGTTCACGATAAAAAAATCACCCTGTATACATATTATGCGAGAAACCAACAGAGAGCTCGACTCCCTACTTAACCAGTACGGATCTAATCTCGAAAGTCGAAATACACATTTACCAAGCAGGCGACAACATCTCCTCCATCGCAAATTACACAATGCTATCGATCCTTTCATGGCTTGAAAGGTTAATACCTATCATGTCAACCTACTGCTCTTTCTTCAAAGAAACAGCAACACTAGGACATTGTTCACCTTTCGGTCCATCAACTGGACTGATCAGCTCAAAGATGACCACACTGACTAGCAACAACGCAGCAGGAAACATCATCTACCAACTTCAGGAAGCATTCCCAGATTTGTACCAATACGTACAAACTTATGATCACCGTTCTTACGAAATATCTATTCCACAACCCCATCAATTAATGGGTCAGTATTCAGCCATCATATGTTGATATATTTAGCAGTTTAAATTCCTGAAAAATGTATTAGGTATATGTAACATTTGACATATCAACAAATTGTATACAATATTACAATCCTTAATATGGCAATAGTACCGAGTAGTAAATATATAATGGTATATACAGATTAATGTAAATTTAATCATTTTTTGGTCGTTGCTACATCGACAAAATCAAATATTTAAGTAACCTGCTCGTCATATTTAAAAGGTGATTTTGAAAGGATTTAATATGGATACTTGTATATTTTAGAAAATTAAGGTTTCAGAAATATAGTAAAAATATATTGGACTAGGTACGTTATGTTATTTGGCAAGACAGTAAATAGACAGTTTAAACAGTTAAACTATACTCTATTCCAAATAAGATCAGGAGTCGGCGGCAGAGTTGTGCGCATGGGCGTGGCTTTGTTCCGTGGCAGCGCCTGACGAGTATGTAAACATTCAAATTAATAATTATGTATATTCTTAAAACGTATTTACTTACAGAGTGTGACTGTATAAACGGAAAAAAAAAATACAATTAAATATGTCCATTTATGTTCAATTATTATCTAATAATCGTTAGGGATCAAACGTATACCGGTTATGGTAGTTTTAAGTTTTAAGTAGCTAGTACATTATATAATTATAATAATTTTTTAGATTCTGAGTGAAACGATGAATGTATTGATTTTACAATGATGTGTGTTTTTTTATTTTTTTATTTTTTTATTTTTTTTGTATCTGTGTACACGATAAGTAGTCGAAATAATGCTTCGATTTTCGACTTCAGTATCTTGTTCGATTGGAAAGTGAATATCGTTGATGCATTGGGGAGGTCAAAATTTAAATTTCCCAGTAGTTTTCACAAGCGCCGGGAAAAACAACATAAAAATTAAGGAAAAACGGGAATTTTTACGCAAAATTGATTTTCCAAAAAATCGATTTTGGTTATTGGTGTAACTCTAAAACAAATGAACGTATATACATGAAATTTTCACTGGTTGTTTATATTTGCATTTTCTATACACGATAACATTTTCAAAATATTTTGATTTATTTTGAACTGTTTAGGGACATTTTCATTTTTCGTTTTTTTTCTAGAAATATCAATAAAATTTTATTTGTTGGTTGCGAAAGCTTGAAAATTTAATAGAAGGCTCCTAATATATTGTTTCAAAGGCAGATGAAAAATATTAAAAATCCTTAGTCACAATTTTTTTTTATAAGCATTTAAAGTTTAAAAATTGACAAAATATGGAAAAATCACGAAAATTAGCAAATTATTTTGAGTTAAGAATTCGTAAAAATTTTTCTTTTTAAATCTAAGATTTGAAAATCTAATACAAGATTACTCATAAGATTGTCTACCTTTATCAATAAAAAAAATCTCTACCGGAAAGTCAAATTAAATTTTTATGAGCGTTTGAAATTCAAATTTTTACAACATTGGATATTCACTCGATTTCTCATGTGGCAATTTCCTTTTTTTGTTGTAATTAAAAAACGAATTACTGTAAATACATGAAAATTTCACTGAATGTTTATATTAGCATTTCCTATACACCATACAATTTTGAAAATATTTTGACTCTTTTTGAGCCGTTTACGGACATTTTCAGTTTTCAATTTTTTTAGTTTGTTTTTTCTATAAATATCAATTAAGTTTTATCTGTTGGGCCAAAAAGTGTAAAAATTTAATACAAGGCTCCTGATATATTGTTACAATATCAGTTGAAAAATGTTAAAAATACATAGGCACAATTTTTTTTTATAAGCATTTTAACATCGAATTTTGACAGAATTTTTCAAAATCTCGAAAATTATTAATCATCGTAATTAATAAATTATAAAATGTTCAGTTTTTATAGCTAAGGATTGAAAATTTAAAACAAGATTCTACGTAAGTAGTTAATTCTCTTACCGAAAAATCTAAAAAATATACAATCACAGTTTATTTTTATAGTCATTTTATGTTCAAATTTGGACGAAATTTCATATTAAAAAACCTAGTTATTTTGTTGTGATTATATAATATTATTCGTGGGTACGGGGTACCTACTTGAAACTTCTAAAGTGTACTATTATATATCTATGATAGTATCAGGGTTTGTTATTGATGTTGATGTATAACATGTTATAAGTACCTAATGGATATTGTGATAATGTGATATGATTAATTTGGAATTTATTATAAGTCAATTTTTTTTTTAATACCATAGATATGTATATAATTTGTCTTAAACCTAGACTGACATACCGTCTTCGCTCAGAATCGTTTTTCTTATACAATGATATTGTATCATTGAATTCAAATTTAAAAGCATCCATTATACAGTGACCCACTTGTAACCTACTGTACAGCAGAGCGACATCCACTTACCCACCTTTTTTTTTTGAAGGTCCACATCAGGAAGCTGGAAATTGTCATCAAAATTTCAGACGTCAGTAAAAACCAATGAATAAAAATTATCAATTACTAAAACACTAAAACCATTAATTTCGATTTTTTTTCAATTATTGACGTTAAATAATTGTTTTTCTGAATCAAAAAATTTGAAAATTTACCCATATTCCATAAGTATTTGTCAATTGTATTGTAATATTATTATATGATTTTATTCAGAACTTCGGGTTTTAGTAAATGTATTCTATTAACAAGTGATTCTTAAAAGTGCAACACATTGGCGCAACTAGGGGGGGACTTAGGGGGGCTTAGCCCCCCCCCCCCCCCAAAATGTATTATAGCCCCCCCAAATTGTTTTGATTATTTAAAATGTAATGATAATTTAAGCATGGGATAGTGAGATACATACTAAATAATATGAGTATATGACGCAGAGAATTATTCAAAAGTAAATTGTATAAATATAAAATATTATTATTATAGTTTTTTTTGTAATTCCTACAATCCTACATAATTAATAATAATATTGTTATCTAATAAATGTGACGGACGACGGTGGAATATTGCGGTGGTTCACTGCGACAACGTCTAATAATCGAAATCCCGGTATTTCCGACTGTAAATAAATAATCAGAGTCGAATAGTCGATCTGTGTTTTGGGATTCTCCGTGGCCAGTGCTAATGAATTGCGTGTATGCAAACCGTATATAGTGACGATACTGTACTGTACTTCTGTTGTGTTTGTGTATTGCAGTATTACAGTAGACTGCAGTATTATTTAATATTTAGACCTTGGAACTTGGAAGTGTTTTATTTTGGTGTTAATACTTTGGTGAGTAAAAATGGACAAAAAAAAAGTATTTAGTATTTTTAATAAACCAAAAAAAGTATCCAGTACTAGTACAGTTGATACAGTTGAAAACCAAAATAATAATAATTTATATATAATATGTGAAAATTATTTTTAGGTGTTTTAAAGAAGAACAATTAGCTTTATGTGTTAGGTATTCCAAAAATCTACACATTTTTGAAAGGTTTGTTGGATTTGTAGATGTGTCAATAAGTCAAAACGCTGAAGCATTATCATCTGCTATTTTATCATTTCTTGACAAACACAACATTCTGAATGTACCCATCATAGCACAAAGCTATGATGGAGCAAATGTTATGTCAGGTGACCACAATGGAGTACAAAAAAAAATTAAAGACAAAAACCCTTTTTCTATTTATATACACTGCATGGCCCACAGAACTAATTTAGTGGTAATTGATATGTGTAAATCAATTAAGGTATGTTGGTGTATACTTTAGTATCTAATGTAGTAATGTCTCTATGTAAACTAATTTAAATTACAAGTACTAAAAATTGTTTTTCATTATTCAGGATGCTAGAAATCTTTTCAATGGGTTAGAAGCGTTGTATATCCATTTTTCAATCCCATCAAAAAATATGATGTTGGTTGATATACAAGAGAAACTTGGAATTAAAAAAACAAAACTATGTTCGATTAGTGATACAAGGTGGTCTTGCCGTTTTAAAAACTGCAAAATGGTGATGGAACATTATTCTTCTATAATAAAAGTTTTAAAATATGAAATAGATGAAAATACTGACAAAAACGTTGCAAATGCTATAGGTTAGATTACTTACTCATATATTTCCATTTAATACAAAATTACATTGTTTAGTATATTTTAAAAGTTAATTTTTTTAGGAATCCTGTACACAATGGAAAAAACTTCATTTCTTGTGCATTTGTTTGTTTTACATGAGATTTTACTTATAATTAATATACTAAGTAACAAACTCCAGGAAAAGACTGCAACGTTGGGTAAAGCATCTCAAGTAATAGATTCTGTTATTGCTACCCTAGAAGCTAATCGCTGTGAAGAACATTTTTTAACAATTTGGACTCAAATAACTGAATTTTGTACAAAAAACCACATACTGTTGGAGATATCCATGAATGGTACATTATTAATAAATAATAAATTATATGCAAATAGTTTTTAGTCATTAACAATAGTAGTTGAAATTAAAAGGCTTTTTATTTTATTAGGATCTAAGAGAAAAAGAACACAGCCAAATAAACTAAGTAATTATATAACAGAAGTAAATACTGGTGAAAGTGAAGAGCAGCATAGCTCAAATGATATTATGACATGCTATCGTGTCAAGTATTTTATTATTTTGGACACTGTAATAATGAATCTTAAAATGAGATTTTCAAAAGAAAGTATGGAGTTGGCTAAAAGTGTGGATGGCTTTTTAATGTTTGACTATTCAAAAAGCCTTACATTTATAAACCATTATAAAGTAAGTTAATTAATTGTTTTTAAATTAAACATTAATGAAAAAAGAATGTTAATGCTAATTTATTTTTGCATAGAATTTATTGAATATCGATTTGGAAAGTTTGAAGGCAGAAATGATGGTAGCACAAAATCTTAAAAAACAATCTACCGATAATAAAATGATGACACCTGCAGAAATGGCTGAAATTGTATCACCTAACACTTTTCCAAACTTGTATAAATTGTTGAACGTAGCTTATACAATTCCTATTAGTAGTGCCACTTGTGAAAGAGCATTCTCTGCTATGCGGCGGGTAAAAAATTGGCTACGTTCAACAATGTTACAAGACCGTTTTTCAAATTTATCTTTACTAAGCATTGAAAGAGACTTAACTAATAACATAGACAGCGATACTGTCTTAGAACATTTTATAGCTAATAATAAAAATAGACGGATAGATCTTAATATGTAAATTACAAATTAAGATTATCTATTATGTCATATTTTATGTAAAACACTACATAGAAGTAGGTACATGATTTTTAATAATATACACTCAACCAAAAACCACAATCATAGTGATGAAATCATAGATTAAATTGACAATATTATTGTTAATATAGAGCCGACAAGATGATATTGTTAAATTTATAGTATCTGATGGTAACGGTTTATTTACAAATTTAATTATCAAGTCAAACATATATATATTATCAATCCGACAATCTCCATTGATCAATTTAATAATAAGTATTTTCACTGTGATTATATAATAATGTAAAATAGACAAATAAGCATTGTTATTTTAAGAATATGTACAATGAAATTAACAAGATTTGTATTATCAAATCAGGTAAATAATACATTTTTTTGTATATTAAATTTTAATTTAAAATAAAAATAAAAAAAGAGAAAAATAACTTCACTGTATGCTAAACAAATAATAATAACATGTATAAGTATGTATAGGGAAAATCCATCTTTAATGAAATAAAAATAACATATAAAAATTAAAAACAACTTAAATTACTGTATTCTATACAAATTATAACATATTATAAGTATGCAGGTAAAATGGATCTAAAATTAAATAAAAATAACTTTATCAAAAAACTAAAATATATAAAAACAACTTGTATTATTATATGGTAGCCCTATACCTATATAAACAAAATCTATTTAAAAATTAATATTTTATTAATTTTTTAAGTCTGAAAGAATTTGCCCCAATGTGTGACAAGCCTTATCATATTTTGTGTTGATATCATAAAAATATTTTTGTATAAACAGCCATACAGTATATGACTCAACAGGATATTCTAAGTTAAAAATATGAAATATCTTAAAACATATGTCTATTGCAGAAATGAATGAAAACATTTTGTACTTGATGCAATCAAAAAATATAATAATTTCTTTGGGCTTAAAAGTTGTTCCGCAAATAATTATGAATGGTTGAATGGGGACATTTTCACTCCGGCGACATATAATGTAATCTTCCATTTCAAGAACTGAGTTTTTGAAAACCATGAAACTATTTTGGCTATCTTTGATGGAGTACTTAATTATACTTTTTTTCCCAGTATGATCCTTAGTCATTTTTTTTGCAGTAGGAACCAACAATCCATGTAATAAATAAAATAATACTGAATGTTTTCCATCTATAAAATACATAATTAAATTAATAATTTTAGAACCTACCTAAATTTAAAATAATATAATTACTTTCACTAATATTTGATATATTTTCTTCATAATATTCCAACATTTTTTTACTTTCGGTATCTTTTATTTGTTCCTTCAATAATTTAAATAAAACATCAAACTTTTCTTCTATTGCATACTTGATATCAGAACAATTAGAGTAGAGAGTCTTGAAGTCAACATCGATCTATTAAAATAAATCATATTTCATTGTTTTGATTATTTAACACAAAAAAGGTAACTTTACTATAATACTTACAAGTCTATATCCAAGAGGCTGTGTATAATGGTTCCATTTTTTGAGAATTTCTGAGGTACCAGTGGAATTGGCTATTTCATTTAATCTATACTTTGTAGTTTGCTTCCACAATTTTTCAAGTATTGGAAATGAAATACTTGAATCATGCATTATTTGTTCTAGTATATAATTAATATCATTTTCAGGTTCTGAAAAAAGGTTTCATTCTTATTAAAACATATTCTTAAAACCACATAAAGATAGGATTAATCCAATATTAAATTATAATAAGTAGAACTTGGATGTTGTTGCAGTAATTAAAAGTTTGAAAAGGTTATAACTAGCCTTGTATAACTAATATATGTATTGTGAGTGTGAATGGCTTATTTGTTAGGTTTTAGGCAGGGATTGAAAATTATTTTATTTCCATTTTTATTCTTAATTTCGTTTAATAACTTATATGGAAACATTTTTCATCTCTGAATTTGGGGCAATTTAAAACTTTAAATTTTATTTTAATAAATGTGATGATATTTGAAATGTGTACAATGTGTACAAATAATTAAATTATACATATTCTCAAATTTTAACTAATGATGGTAATGAATAAAAATATAAACTCGAACCTTCCCATTCTAATTACTAAAAAAACTATTTAATATCAAATGATTCAGAGGTTTTCACATAGGTCATTTTTCCTAATTTAAATATGTCATGCTATCACATAAAATTTAGTATATCCTGTATAATAATTAAATATATATTACCAAATTCTTGTTGATCATATCTATTATGTGATATAGTTTTCACTGACGATTTTTTAACTGCCGGTACGAGGCCACATGTCCTTAATGTTCTCATTGAGTTGTAGTATTTTGCGTAAATTTTACCTTTTGGATTTTTGTTTACCCCTGTATCCTTCATAAAGTAGATATCCTAAAACAAAATTAAATCAATTTCAAAATTATTTAAAGCTTTTTGGACAACTATATCAATATTACCTTAACTTCTGATGGAAATATTGCAACAATATAATTTGCAATATTAGAAGCAAGTTGAACAGACATAAGAATTTTTTTTGTAATTATATGGCTAACTATCAAATCCACAAGTAAAGTCCTGATGTTATTGTTAAATTTATTATGTATTTTGTAATAATCAGTGATCATTTTCCCTGTACTGGATGACTTCAAAACTTCATCTATGTCAATTGTTTTTGATGTATGATCCTGTATGGTATTCTTTACTTCAGAGTTCACATTTGAGCTTACAGTCTTTTGGTTTGTTACAGCGGTTGTTTTTTGCCACTCTCGCAACTCATGGGTAAACAAAACTTTAATGCCAATAGGAAATTTGACCATCAATTCATTAATATATTCATTTTGAAAAACGGATAAAGTTTTCATATCTATGAGTTCAGCTAAAGAAAGGTATTTTTTAATAAGAAAATAATGTTTAAAAATAAATACTCAAAGAGGTACTAGGTACTAGATATCACTATATTAGTTTTTATATATAAATATTACCAATTAATGTGTTATACACACACTCTAACTTCCAACTTGATAGCAAATTTAACAATGGCTGCAAATCCTCAACAGGAAATAAGTAGTCCTGGTATAGTTCTATGTTATTTATATTTGATTCCTGTAGATAGTATATACAATATTATGTTTGATTTATGAATTTATGACATGCATTAGAATTGAGAGAAAAAATAAATTAAGCTTGCCAACTGATCAGTAGAATTAATTAGTTCAAATGTTGATAATTCATCAATATTCATCGAGGTCATATCTGAGGTACTGTTCGTGCTTTCAGCCATTTCAAGAACAGAATATAATACTAAATTAAAATAATATACATATTTACAATTATTTATTTGGATACTTAATATATTACAATAAAAAAAGAAAAAACTTATCATACTAAAAATTATCATTAGGTATTTTAAAAAAATTCTTTTAAACGTATCATATATTTTCCAGATGCAACTATTGTAATATTAATTGGTGGACCACTAAATTCATCTATTCCATGAATAGTACAATTATTAACTATAATATTTTTATCAACTTCAAAAGCTTCAAATTTTACATGGAAATCTAAAACCTGAATTTGTTTAGACAATATGAAAATTTTATCTGTAGAGTTATTCACAACAATTATTTCTGAAATCTCATACAAACACATTTCATCAAGAAATTTAGTCAAGTAGTATCCTCTTTTATATAATGTTCCTAGATAGTTAACTTGACTATAGCACATGTAAGTTGTTGATGGTTGATGAATAATTTTAGAAATATCTTCAAAATGAAGACTACATATACTGTACTTAGGATTAACAACAATATTTTCAATATTTGGTTGTAAAAGAAAATTTGCAAACTTAAACTGAAATTTTTTTGCCAATGTAAGGGTTATATTTTTTCGAGAACAAGTAGAACGAGCATACATTTTTAATTCTTTATGTTTTCCTTCAAACCTAAAGCACCAATAATTTTTAGGAGGACCTGAATATTGTATAACTGTGGGGTAATGGGTTAAAAAGTGATGCTTAGGCTTTAAATTATCATTAAAAAGTGCAACATACATACGGTTATGTTGTGAAATTAGCTGTCTTAGATATAATATTTTGCTTTGATTAAACTTTGAGGATTGAAGTACATCAACCATTTTCAAAAGGGTTAAAAAAAAATTCCATACTTCACATTCGTCTGGTATAAGATCTCCAATAATTAATGAAAAAAAATGTATAAAAGTCATCATCTCTCTAGCACTCATTTTAAGATGACACCTTTTTAAATGAACATCAGTAATTGGAGGAGAAATATTTCCTACCTCAATAGGTCCATAATTAAAATTACTTTTTCTATTATTTAATGTGGCTAAAGAAAAAATTTGAGCAGTATTGATGTAATATTTTATTATATGGCACATATCATAATGACATACCCCTTCATAAAGATCATGCATAACATCAATACAAAAGTTTTGTGTTACATGGAAACTGTCAATTGTATTCATTATGGAATCTTTGTATATACCGGTTTCAATAAAACACATTTTAGCAACATCATCTGAATAATTTTGAAATGTACGCATGGATGCAGGGTCTTCTTCGTACAATTCACTAGCTATAGATTTATGAACTCTACAAAATCTACAATAATAGTTGGCTGAAAATGACTTACTAAATTCTAATAAGCTATTTAAACCTAAATTGTCTCCTAAAACCAGGCCAAGTATAAAGTATACATGGTAATCACCATGTTCAGTAGAAATTGTTATGCCTTCTCTTTCTATTTCATTTAGTTCATTAATGAAACATTTAAAACATGGATCGTTTCCAAATTGTTTTATATCAGTTGATTTGATTAGGGCCGCCAAAAATATGTTAGATAGTTTAGAATTATTAACCGAAAAAGGAAAATTGTAATATATAGCAGCTATTGATTGAAACGTCGCATGCGACCCCAATGGATTGTTGATTTCAAAATCATCTATATATATAAAATATGGAAACACTATTTTGCCCTCATACTGTTGGATTTTTTCCTTCCATAGTTTTCCTTGTACAAAATTTGAAATACAATCATCGTCGCTATAAGTATATTCTAGAAATTTATCATAAAATATTTTAAAATTATTTTTTTTTTCAAAAAATTGCTTAAATTGTTTTTTTATTGGTAATAGAGTTCCTTTGGTAACTTTTTCATCATAATTAATATTCCCTGTGTGGTCAACAGGAACAATAGCATTATTTATATTAAACTGATACATATTTGATATTAGGTTTCTTTGTTTTAGCCAATTACATAAACGGTATTCTGTTGAACAATATAAAAAAGGATCTAGTAAAATCGTTTCAAATTTATGAAATTTGGACAGTAGAACATGATCATTTATTTCATTTTTAACATGTTTTAATATTGATGCCATAGGCTTCAAAATATAGTCTTTAATTCCAGCTTGAATAAACACTACATCACTATTATTAAAGTTATTATTATTGTATAAACTTAAAATAAACTTGACAGTAGACTGATATAAGAGGTTAACTTCATTGTCAAAATTAAATATTGGGACCGGATCATCCAAAACATTTTCTTGTTCACAATCATTTATATCATTTAAGTTGTGTGTAAGTGTGTTATCCACTTCTGAATTATGTACATTTTGTTGTACATTAGGAGAAACATGAACGGAAGTGTGTTTTTTTATTACATGTCTTTTAAAAGAAGACAAAGCATTAAATGATTGTGAACAAAATTCCTCACAGCAAGTGTAGGTGCTGTTAGGTTTTAATACATGTATTATCTTATAATGTACCACTAAAGCATCTAAATCTTGAACCTCCATTTTACAAATATAACAAATCATCTTCTTACCTTTAAATATGTACTTACTTTGCTGTTTCACGGTTCAAATAATATACTTGACAACAATTCAAAAGTATAAATAAAAACGGACAACGGTGTGTGACGTGTGTGTATAACAAATAACGATAGAATAAAATAACGCGGAGTGGCGGCCGGCGGGTGACTTATGGAATAAAGGATAATTGATAATAATCTTTATCATTTCAAAAAAAATTATCGTTAAATCAATCCGTTTGATTGTGATTGAATAATTCATTTTTAGCACACAAAATATGAAAAATGAATAATCTAATAATATAAATAATATATAAATAGCAGACTGTGTCTATAGATAGCCTGTGAGTGATAAGATAAAACGATAAGAGTGGTTATATAACGGTTACCCTGCGACCTACAACTTGTGGTAGTGTTGTATACTATATTACTATAGCACACATAGCAAACCGAGGGATATTTTCGTTTTATTTGTCCGAGCATTAACTGGCTGGGTATTAAATTTATAATACCGGCTACTGGATAAAACCATATCCCCCATGACAAAAACCTAAATACGCCACTGACGTACATATTATACACTCGCAGCTACAATATTTTCAAATTGATAAAATAATATCATTACACTGAACAAGCCTTCTTATCATGCTGATAAAATCTTTTCAATTCAACAAATGTGGTATTGTTGAACATTAACAAATCCGCATTATCAATATCACCAATGGTTTTTGGTTGAGTGTAGTATGATAATAATATTTTATGATTGTTTTTATTTCAATTAATAATTATTGTTTTGTGGCTGCGGCAATGGGGGGTATGGGGGGCGAAGCCCCCCATGACTCACATTGACAAAATTTATGTGTAGGGCTTCAGCCCCCCCAATATTTTAGACCTAGTTGCGCCAATGGTGCAACACATCATACAGTCGTGTAGTGAATTAAAGTCAAAGCCCACGGGTAGGTGCTTCCTAAATCCAAATGCATATTATTACAAATTTAAATAAAAAGAAGTGATAAAACAAACACGTTTTTAAATAAAAGTTATTACCTACTTATTTTGAATTAGATACTAAATTTATTTATTTTAGTTATTATTATGTATTATTATATTTCATCTTCATTATAAAATATAACTTACTCTTATAAAAATAAATTTTTCAGATGAAAATTTTAATTTACTCAGATGGATTAAACCTTGATTCTTATTTCTGAACTTTTCGTCGGTGAACGAAGTTTGGTAAATGTTACATTTAATATTATTTATTATGCGCAAGCAAATTATCTACAACGTATAATACGTTGTAATGAAAAAGATTATTAGGTAGGTAATTGTTATAACTTTAAGAAGGTAATATTTTTTTAAATGCAATAATAATTATTAATTATTTGGATATTATTGATTTTATATATATCTATAGGTACTATTATGTAAATAGGAATCGTTAGTTACCGTTGTCGAAAGTAATCTCTGGAACTACTGAACCGATTTCGAAAATTCTTTTACCAACAGAAATCCACGTTCTTTATGAGTGTCATAGGGTAATTTAAAAAGGGAATTGATCACCACCGGTAGGTGCTAAAACAGGAATTTTGAGATTTACGATAGAAATTGTTGTTTATTAATGGTTGCTATGGGTTATAGGAGTTGAGAATAATATTTATTTATTATTATTATTTTTTAATTTGAATATTAATAGAGCGTCTCAATCTCAATTGTTTCAATCAGTCGAAGATACGATCAGACGAGTACATCAACTTGCGTAACGCCATCGCTACTGAAGGAGACGCTGCCAACATTGGTTGTTTGACCATTCTTCTTTTTATATATATAAAAATGAATGTTTGTGTGTTAGATTAGACCTCTGGGTAGAAGACAGGCTAATTAAAAAAGGGTTAAATTTGTTTTTTTTATTCATCAGTTTTTAGTACGGTTGAGTTAGGATTTTGTGTTAATTGATTATATTAATCCCCCGGATTAAGACGGGGTCTGCTATCTACCTCAGGTAGATTGCCTACCTGATAATATACTGC